TATTTATTCACTTGATTTTTAGATTCACTTGTTGATAGATGTATATTTGTTGTTCATAATTTGTATCTTTACCTTTTTCTTCTTCTTCCTCTTCTTAAAAGATACCTTTCAGCATTTCATATAATACTGGTTCAGTGGTGATGAACCCCTTTAGCTTTTCCTTATCTGTGAAGCCCTTTATCTGACCTTCAATTCTGAATGATAGCTTTGCTGGATAAAGTATTCTTGGTTGTAGGTTCTTGGTATTCATCACTTTGAGTATTTCTTGCCACTCCCTTCTGGCCTGCATAGTTTCTGTTGAGAAATCAGCTGACAGTCGTATGGGTACTCCCTTGTAGGTAACTGACTTTTTTTCTCTTGCTGCTTTTAAGATTCTCTCTTTGTCTTTTGCTCTTGGCATTTTAATTATGATGTGTCTTGGTGTGGTCCTCTTTGGATTCCTTTTGTTTGGGGTTCTCTGCACTTCCTGGACTTGTAAGTCTATTTCTTTCACCAGGTGGGGGAAGTTTTCTGTCATTATTTCTTCAAATAGGTTTTCAATATCTTGCTCTCTCTCTTCTTCTGGCACCCCCATAATTCGGATGTTGGTATGCTTGAAGCTGTCCCAGAGGCTCCTTACACTATTTTCGTATTCTTTTTTCATTTTGCTTTTCCGGTTGGGTGTTTTTTTGCTTCTTCGTATTTCAAATCTTTGACTTGATTCTTGCGATCCTCTTGTCTGCTGTTGGGAATCTGTATAATATTCTTTATTTCAGTCAGTGTATGCTTAATTTCTAGTTGGTCCTTTATCATAACCTCGAGGGTCTCACTAGATTTCTTGAGGGTCTCATTAAGTTTATCGGCGGTTTCTAGAAAATTCTTGAAAAACCTTAGAAGTGTGATTTTGAACTCTATATCCAGTAGTTTGCTTTCCTCCATTTCTGTCATTTGTGTTCTGTTTCTTTGTCTCGGCATTTTTTATGCTTCACTGTGTCGATAGAGTGGCTTTGTGTGCTAAGTGTCCTATAAGGCCCAGTGGCTCAGCCTCCCCAATTACCTGAGGTAGACACTCTTGGTGCACCCCCTTGTGGGCTTTGTGCACAGTCTTGTTGTAGTTAAACCTTGATTATTGTAGGTAACACTGGGAGGAATTGACCTCCAGGCCAATTGGTTGTGAGAATCAGCTATGTCTATGGTGGGAGAACTTCTGTGCTGAAGACACCCTTATGGGGCAAGACTTGCTTCAGTGGGGCATTGGTGCTCACTGAGTCTGCCTCCTGAGTGTGTCCCTTATGGATCTGAGGAGTTGTAATTGGATGGTCCCACTCTGACCACTGGGTACACTGGCTCTTGGATCTAAGGAGGTGCTAATTTAGCCTCTGCCTGAGGCTCCCCAGCAGAAGCCAGCTGTAAAGCAATGCAAGTTGCAGTGGGGCCTTGGGCCAGCTGCAGTTTGTTAAGTAATTTTCATATTACAAAGGGCCAGGCCTTTCATATGTAAAAGCCTCCATGCATGGCTTGGGTGGGGCGGGGTCCCAGGGGATCAACAGGGCGGGCGGAGCGAGCAGTATGGCTGCTCTCAGTCCTGCCCTCAGAGGCCCTGGCAATTGCTGCGAGCTCCTCTGAGAGAAAGCTGCCCTCGAGTTCCCACCGATGCCAGACAGTCCTGTTTCTCCCGTATGAGTCTGGGTCCCCAGAGACTCGCCCAGAACTGGAGCTCAGAGCTTGAGACTCCCTCCCAATTGAAAAAGATAATCGTGTCCTCAGCCACCAGCCCTCTCCGCATGCACCTCCGCACCTTTGTATTTTACTTCCGCACCGCACCTCCTCTGAGTCTAGGTATGCTTTTCTCTTTCCTTCTAGTTGTAGAATTTCCACTCAGCCAGCCTTCCTGTGGTTCTGGATGATGTCCGTTTTGTCTTTTAGTTGTATTTTGGAAGTGGTTGTTCGAGGCAGCAATCTCCGGTGTTTACCTATGCCGCCATCTTGGTTTCTCCCCTAATATTCTCTTTTTAAATCGTAAACTATAAATATATGACAAACTTTTTCCCAAGTGACCTTACCAGGTAGCTCAATTGATTAGAGAAGCATTCTGATACTCAAAGGTTGTGGATTCAAACCCTGATGTTTCTCTCTCTTTATCTCTCCCTCTCAATCAATAAATAAATTAAAAAAAAACTTTTCTGAGTGATTAAGCATCAATAAAAATATTTTTTAAATGTGCAAAAATAACCAGGAAAATTCTGAAGAAGATAGAGTATGGGAACAGTTTATATCTATGAAATGTTACAATGTATTATGGATCTACAGTCATTAAAAAGAATATGGTATTAGTACAGTAATAGATAATAGTCAAAACAAAGACCAGGTCCAGAAGTGGACCTAAATGGAAAAATCAAAGTTTTATACAATGTGTATGTGAACAGTTACTTGTAATTTTGGTCAGTGTTAGATTTCAATAAATTAACTAAATCAAGTAAAATCCTGAGTTATACAAAGGAATAAAATCTCTAAAACAAATATTTAATATCATGGGTTCCTAGCTAAAATGTATAGGACAAATTCCCATCACATCTAAACAATCAACAGAAAAAACCCCAAAACCTGATTTTCCTCATATGCTTATTTGCCCCATTAACATGAGAAATTGATTAAAATTGGGTGTCGGTAGTGGGCAGGGATAACAGACTTTGTTACTAACTGGAAAAAGTCAAAAAGTTGACCACCATGCTTTTCTTTATCATCTCTGCTAAGTCAGAGAGCTGTTTCATTTTGCTTTGTTAAACTGGTGCCAGACTATAAAGGAGTTTGTAGCATTTTAAGTGATAGAAACCCCACCTCAAATAAAAAGTGATTTCTTTGTATCTTTTAAAAATCCAAGGGTAGATTTTGTTTTGGGAGAGGTTGAATACAGTTGAAGATTAAGTAGTGTCATCAGGTGGCTGTTTCCTGAATTCACAATATGGCTAGCAGCAGCTCCCTGGCCTGCATCCTACTGAATTCCCACACAGTGAAAAGGTAGGGTCTATGTCCCAGCAATCTCTGTGAAGGCCTTAGGACTCTAAATGGATCACACCCATTTAGAAGCAAACATGTTGGCTGGAGAAATGCTTTGATTGAAGTAGTTTAGTTCCACATCACATATTCCATATCTGAGCTATTCAGGCATCAATCTAGAGTGGGGGAGAAGATGAACCCCAAAGGGAAATCAGAGTGCAATCACCAAGAAGAGGTTCAGTGGACCCATCTAGAGTAAAATACACAGGGGAAGAGGCCCTATGAATTTAACCTTGACATGTTTATTAATGTTAAAGCTAGGTAGCTGTAATGAACTGAATGCATGTGCCCAATCCCCACCAATTCAGATGTTGATGCCCTCATCTCCAATGTGATGGTACTTGGAGGTGGGGCTTTGGAGAAGTGATTAGGTCATGAGAACCCTCATGAATTAGATTAATGCCCTTGAGAGAAGAGCCTTGAGAGAGGGGAGCTCTCCCTGCCAAACAAGGACACAGCAAGCAGCTGCTGTTTGCACACCAGGAAGAGGGCCCTCACTAGAATCAAATCATCCAGCACCTTGATCTTGGATTTCCCAACCTCCAGAGCTGTGAAAAGTAAGTTTGTGTTGGTTAAGCCACTTGTCTATATTATTTTGTTATGGCAACCCAAGCCAATTAAAACAGCCAAATCTCACTTTTTGAAAAAGTAAAGATTTAATGAGGTAGAAGTGTCCCCCATCCCCATATTTCCACCACATTTTCCAGTTTCCTGTGGTTATCTGGATGGCAATGTTTGCTGAGATGAGCTGTCCTGGGATGTGAAACGCGCCTGGGGTAACGGATAATGATCACTGCCACTGCAGGGAGACCATCTTGCACCAGAGGAGCTGCATCTTTTTAATCCACTCTTTCTATTACTGGTTTAAATAATGTTTCTGACAAGATTCTGTGTGTGTTTTTTGTTTGTTTATTTGTTTTGTTTTTCATCAGTAAACAGGTATTGGGCATTATTTGTAGGGCTGTTAACACATTACATGAAAAAAATGAGCTATTTAAAAGCCAAGAGAAATACTTTCAGAAACATTTAGGTCTAAAATGAAGTTTTAGGAACTTCCAAATGAAAAGTCTGCAATACAAACTAAAGTCTCTTCCAAATTGGCCTTTGTTGTAGCCCTGGACACATTATTCCCTTTTTACTTCTAATCTGGAGCATAGATAATATTTTTCATGTTCAACTTAAGTTGTTTAGTTAATGGTCTAAGAATAATTTTGGGGAGCTTTCATCAGCATGGGTGTTAGTACCCCATTCCTCTGACTGAATGTGATATGCCTATTGTGTTCTTGCTGTATAAACTGATCCCTGGGATTAATCATCTTCTTTTTACCAGCTAGAAATTGTAGATGTTTAATGGATAGAACTATGTCAATCAATTTAATGAGTCTCATTTAAAACATACTGATCATTATAATATTGAAGTATTATCAACATTCATCCTTATTCCTACTTTCTAAGTTTTCCAAGTTCGTCCTTCCTGCCTGCCTGAGGAGAATAAAGTAGCTGAAGCTTTTTTCAAGTTCTGGGAATTCAAGTGCACCTACTGGGTGATCTGCAGAAAAATTCTAAACTATCTTTGCATTGTTTACTACAGTACACCTTAAGCAAATCACATAGTTTCCATTTCTGTGATGGAATATTCTGTCATCCCAGTAGGAAGTGTGCCATGGAGGATACACACTGGTTAAGTTGGCCCAGGGGAATCTCGGGCAGCTTTGCAGCTGGATAGGAAGGTGGGATGTGGACAGGGTTGCAGCACTTGTCACGGTGTAGAGAACCACAGGAGAGTCAGCTCACCTGACAACACAGGCAGCGTCCCTGTGGCCCTCCAGAAGATAAGCACAAGACAAAGGGACAGCCTTCCTAGATAAGGAGAGCCATCCAGTCACCAAACACATTATACAGGTGATTAAGTGAATTAAAACCTGAGTCATCATTACTGATTTTGGTTTCTGCTTTGTTTTCAGTTGTTTGAATTTATGAACTTCTTGGCTGAGAATGTCATCTTCTGCTACATGGGTCTGGCATTGTTCACATTCCAGAATCATATCTTTAATGCCCTTTTTATACTTGGAACCTTTGTATCCTTTGAAATACAGAATAGGGGCTGACGAAAGAGAACAAACTACTTACTTTTACCGATTATTCTGTTAAATTGTTAAAGTAATTTCCTCAGGCTTACTATAGGGCTCAAATTTAAGGTATATATGTAATTTCTAGTTAAATGCTTATGGTTAAACATAAGAACTTTGGGAAATACTGGGAGGGGGGAACTAAAGGAGAGTGACTTTTTTGAATATTCAAAATATGTTTAAAATTATGAATCATTTATATTAAAATTTCAACCCATTCTTTACAGAGAAATATATTTAACCTGAATTAGTATGATCAGAAGATTATTAAGCGTTAGAAATATTTTCATTACAGGATGGTAAAATCTTTTTAGTAAGGACTTTGAAATAGGATATGCAAAGTAAAGAGCAAATGAAATTAGCATGATGGATATGCTTCAATATCTTAATAATTGGGCACATGTAAGGTTATTTTATTAAGAAAACCTTTCCTATAAACAAAATAATAGAAAAAAATCTAAACCTCACTTTTAATGCAGAGGACTTTTGTAGTGCTAGGCCTGGTGTGTAGGCACTCCCAATGGGAATGGGTATCTGAACAAAAGGATACTGAGGCACTGGGATGTCCCCAAGGACAGTCAGTGGCTGTCATCATTCTTTCCACTGGGAAAATGGACATACCCCCTCAGATTCCAGGAGATGATCTTACAGCCAGGAGAGTCGACTCCTTTTTCAAAGCCCTGTTCTAACCAAGCACCTGCCTCCTGTTCTCTCTTCACAGAGCACTCAGCTCAACCCTCAGATTTCATCCAAAATCTGGTCTTAGAAGGAAGCTCCTCTTCCCAACAACTCCATCTCATTTGAGGGTAAACTAGACTAGGTAGACTATCAGGGGAGTGGTCCAAGATGACAAAGGGGAGAAATGACTACCACCAATATTTTCATAGATTTTAATGTGTACAGTTTGGATTTAGTAAAATGCTTCTTAAAGCATTAGTTGTATCATATGTTTATATAGGCAATTTCTCTCAAAATTAAATCCACTAAAAGAAAAAAAAAGAGTGAAGCTTGCTAGATACAGGGCCTATAATTGATGAACAGTGAGATGGTAATCAGGAGCCAAAGCACATGTATCCTTTCTGAAGCACTGCTCAGGAAGCATGCCACAACCCTGCACACTTGCTGCCTTCCTTTGCAGCAGAATTGAACATAAAGTCAGTTTCCAGCAACAATAAATATGATGAGAAAATTTACAGAGATTGAAATTGGGTTGGCTATTGTAAATCAAATGTATTCAAATATAAATATATATTATTTCTAAAAAGGAATTGGCATTGAAAGATGAATTTTGGAAGGAAGTTGGACATACATGTGTTGACATATTTATCCCTGTTTTCTGGGTCATAGTATAGAGAAACTGAAGGAAATGATATTTAAAGCTCAAGGACTAGTGCCCTTACTAAGTAATGCTTTCCTCAATGTTTCCCAGCTAGCAATTCTTGTTGCCAGAGCCTGCAACATATATCCCCTCTCCTTCCTCCTGAATCTGGGCCGGAAGCAGAAGGTCCCCTGGAACTTCCAGCATATGATGATGTTTTCAGGTATGTGAACTACATGCGGCGTCAGCGCTACTGTTCTCTCCCATGTCACTATGTGGAAAACCACAGGGACACGTAGTGACATTCTGGGGAAGCATAACTCCGACTTACCCCAGCATACCCAGCATCATGCTGACACTCCATAAATTATGAGCAACAGTAGGGTTTTTCTTTCCAGAAAACAAATGAAATTAAAGGAAATCTTGTTGGAATGGCCTCAGGGTACATACAGTATCTGCCAGAAACTGGCCTAGAATAGGTATTTTCATATTGGGGAATTGTCATGATCATTTCAGAAATTGCATACTTGAAGGTAAGTATTCTGTAAATTATACTATCCTTGTCCAATGTTAAATCTCCTTCTCCTTAGAATCCCTGTTCCTTCCTTATGCTGAGCTCCAGGAACGTCTCATGGTTAATACAAAAGCAAATCATATCTAAGTTATTAGTTGAGAAAAACCATGCCCCTTTATTAGTTGAAAAAACAAGTACTAATTGGCACCAAGTGCCAAGAGCAATTCCAGGGACTGTATGTGAGTCTGTCAAGATCTGTGCTCTCAAGAAGCTTATGTGCTACTTGCTTAAACCAAACCTGGAGGCTCCCTTTTCCAAAAGAAAATAGACCAAATGAATTTGATGACCCTGAACTACTCTGGGGATTGTGGTTTCTTTCTGTTCAATCAGTTTTCCTACCATTAGTCTTTCCTGTTTGGAGACCTTTCCCTTTACATGCTTTCTAGGTGTGTATACACTTACATTTCACTCACGGTTTATTGGATGATATAAGAGAGTAAAACAGTGACAACAAAACACTTCTTCAGAATAGACCAAACAAAACAATTTCCAGGTATACAGGAAGATATGGAAAATATTTCAGAAGCTATCATTTATTGAATATCTACTATTTGCTACTCACTATAGATCAATCCTACGAGGTAGATATTAACTTTATTTTCTTCAAAATAGAAGCTGAAATTCAGGACCTCAAAGACCTTAAGTAACTGGGCCAAGGACAAAAGCATTCTTGAGCTCAAGTCTATGAGACTCCACTTTAAACCCACCATAGTGTTCCAAAATCTACATTTTTAAATGTACTAGAAATAAAGGACTTGTTTCACCTTCAGTTTCATTCTATCCTGTTCTGCACAGTAAAGGGTGGCAACTCCCAGGCTGAGAAGAAGTTGTTTAATTAAGGGCAGGCAAATGGAGGTTCAGAGTTTAAAACCTCCCTCTGCAGGCCTCTGACAGAGCTTTCTGCATCCCCAGATATGTGAGAGTGGAGAGAGAGTCACAAAGAGGGTGAGCTGGACTGACAGGCCACCTTTGAGTTAGAACAATAAGAAACTGGTCATGAGTTGACATTTTAAGGGAAAGCAAAAGGCAAATGTGGTCACTTGTGCATAAGTGATGGGCTTCATTTTTGCAAAGTATTTCTAGGAGTAGGAAAGCACTCTCTCTTCTTTCCCATCATAGCATCAGTAGATGTACTCTGGAGAACACTGGTTTGTTTTTAAAACTTGGATATTACATTTAAACAATGCTTTATTTTACAAATGCTTTGAAGAAGGTGTAGGGTTTTAGATAGCTATATTGGCATATGAAGTATCTACCCAAATGGCCACCTGGCTTGATGGTTTCTCCAGGGTTTGGCAACTACATTTGCTGAGCTATAAAACTCAAGCTGCACTAAAACTGAGGGCCAAGAATATGGTGTGCAGGACTGGGAGAATGAAGAAGCCTGAATATTGTGGTATCTTTATGATATTCTAAAGTAGAAAGTCAGCAAACTATGGCCTTTGAACCATATCTAGCCCATGCCAATTTTGTAAGTAAAGCTGGAACACAGCTAGATCCTTTAAAAGAAAACAAAAACATATTGTCTATGACTGCTTTTGCACTACAAGGTCAGTGTTGAGCTATTGCAACAGAAACCATATGGTCCACAAAACCTAAAATATTTACTATCTAGCCCTGTTCTAAAGCATCTTCACCCTCTAATGGGGTAGTCATTGTTGGTTTAATTCAGGGAATGCCAATCAGCTACTTCTGTCTTTAAAAATACCATCATACAAATATTTCAAGACATCTACATACATATAACTATAATGCCCAGAGAAAGACACCCGTTGTCTTCCTCATTGACTATCCATGTCATCTGCGGATCATCCAGTCACTTACTGTTAGCAGTTTAGCAGTTTAACCTCAAGGGTCAGTGTCATCATGGGCCAAAATGAGCTTCTATTTACAAATTTGACTGCATTTTTTGTTTTGAACACTTTTCACACTGAAATGAATCTGAACAACAAAGAGATTGGGTTACTTCATATTGTTATTACATGTTCATATTGATATTCCCTCATATGTTGAAAAGCACACTAAAATTTGTCTTTTTAGCTTTAAAATGAAAAGATTGCAATGTTATTTGGAATCACAGATGCTCAGCTTGAAACTCACTCTAGACTTTTCTAAGACCTCTCCTGAGCAATGTTTTGAGACCCATAGGTAGGACAAAGTAGGCTAGGCATATTGGTCTCTTTCCCAGAAAGAGAGAGAGGAGATTGGGCATCTTGCTGACAATCTCAAGACAAACTAGAGATGAAATTGAGACTTACACTCAAGCTTCTTCATTTTGAACTAGAAGGAGGCACAGAAGCACCTGGGCAGGTTGAAGGAGCCTGGCATATTTCAGAGAATATGCCCCTCTGATGTGTCCATTTCTGCGGCACTTTGAAAAGATACTGAAACCCTGATGTATCCTATCATATAAACTAGGAAGAGTTTTAGCAAGGACAGTGTGACCACAGTGCACAAAAGTAGTATAAAATCTTATCCATGAGTTCACACAGCACCAGGTCACCAGGCTTTGCTCCTAAATTTGTTTGTTGCCTATTTGGTTCTCCCCAGAATATGTTGGCATTCAAATAGATGCCAGCAGCAACAGATTAAGAGAAAGGCATGGAAGAAAAACTGTAAATTAAGAAAAGTTTTCTCTTTCTTTCTTATTTTTTATTGTTGACACTATTACATATGCCCCCCCATTTCTCCTCTTTGCCTCCATCCACCCAGCAAGAAAAGTTTTCCATTAGCATTTAAATTTCCTTTCAATGGTGAAAGATTGCCATTATTATCCAAGTTTGGGGACATCAGTGTTCTACAGAAGGATAGCTTCAGAACCACCATCAGTGTATAGGAGACTATCTTTCTCAGTGTGTTTCTGGTGAGCTATCAGGCAATGATCACAGTCATCTTGAGACTTTGACTCATAAGTGGCTTTCCCCAGCTCATGCATCAATTCAACAGGAAGAAAACATGCATGGAATTCGTGAAGGTGAAGAGCCAGTATCACTGCTGCTGCAGTGCCTGGGAACAGGACTCCATGTTTGTGACTTCCCAAGCTAATGGAAGTCCATTAGGCCATCAGGACTGTGTCACAGCAATCACCAGCCACCAGTAAAAGGACACTTCCATGTGCTCTCTTAATCCTTGATGCCCAAAAGTGTGGTCCTCAGAACAGCAGCTTTGCCATTATGTGGGAGCTCCTACTTGTGCATGTAAGCATGTGAGAAGGACATCCCAGAATATAATGGCAGTTCTTAATCTCTGTTCTGAGCTGTCTCTTCAGCTTATTCCTCCCACCTCTTTCTGTTTTCCTTAGACACTCCTGGATTCCAATCTTGCTTCTTACTCTTTCATTTGCCATACGATCAGCACAGAACTATTTAGCCAATCACTGCATTTCTTCCTGTTCCTTGAGCATGCTGAATTCTTACACTATTCGCCCAGATTCTCCTGCTGCCCAGAATCCTTTCCATACCTCCTGTCTTCACTTTTTTAATCTTTAGATTTGGCTTAGACATCACTTCCTGTAGGAAGCCTTGGTAAGTCTTCAAGTGTGGGTGTGTCCCACTCATCTGTTTTTATAGGCCCATTATTTCTCCTCTCCTAGGACCCATCACATTCCACTGTGATTTTTGGTTTACCTGCCCGTGTGCCCCTTTAGACTGGGAGCTTCATGAGGCCGGTGCTTATTTGTTTGGTTCCCTCTTTACCTCAGCACCCAGCACACTATAATTTAAAAAAACACACAAAAGGTTTTATTTGTTGATCTTTGTCTTAAAATTATTGTCGCTTAGCTCTCACCTGTGGAACCAGGCAAGCCTGGTCTGAGAGCTTCCAATTCTGGAACTGAAGCTTGCTGGACTGATGGAACAGGACTAGCCTTCCACAAATAACTGGTGGACAAATAGGCAAATGAGTGAACAAACTACAACATTGTCTATCCGACTGAAATTACACATTTCATTAAAATGTTGCTTAAGCAACAATAATTTTAAGAACTGAGATCAACAAATAAAACCTTGTTTTTTAAATGGAAGAAAATGTTTTTCCTATACTCACTTCCCTGAGTGCTGACAATAGTAAACATTGTTAACACTTCCTCAAACATTGCATTAGGATCTGAGGATACTTTTTAAAGCTTTGCTTGCTTTGTATTGCGGGGATGTGTTTGTTTTCCAGTTAAGAACCTGAGGTCTCATTTAAAACTCAGGAACTTTAACAGTAGGTGATTTGAATCAGAATCAGACTAAATCTAACTTCAAATTAGGAAAAAGATTTTCTTTAATGTACATACAAGAGTTATCTGAGATTCTGAGCCATCAAGCAACAGGACTTTTTCTTTACTCTCCTCTCTTCCCTTGTTCCATACTTCCAGAGAGAGACAGCCTGGAAGACACCAATATTTCTGTCAGCATTCCTTGCCAGGCCTGCCTCTGCAGACACTCACCCAGAGTCCAGTGACTGTCATTTCTTCTGTGCTATGTAAACTTACTGTCACAGGAGTACATGCTCTCAGTCCAGGGCGGATGTTAACATGGGGGTGGAAAAATGCCTCTCCTCCAGAGGCAGCTTCAGATATCACCAGGCTCCTTCCGTTTTGTAGCATTATCATTCCCTAAGCCAAGGGTCCTAAAGTGGTCCCTGAACTAGGAGTGTCACCAGCG